GCTGATTATTTTTACAGACTAATGATAGGTACAGCCAATGACTATGAGAGTGTTTCTTTTTTAAATTTTTTCTCTAATTATAAGATATCTTATCATGTTAAGCTAATAAGATAATCTTGTAATTAGAGACAAAATTTAAAAACGAAACACCGTTAAGTCATTAGTAGTACCTATCATCAGTCTGTAAAAAAAATCAGCTTCATTCATCCCACCGTAACCTAGTTATATCCGTAGAAAGTTCGTGAAAAACCGACTAAGAATTGTTTTTTTACGGAGTTATCAAATGCGCGGGATTTTTTTAAATATTTTTTTAAGAGCTATTATCAACGTTTTCATTTGGTGTATAACTTATTTTTTCGAAAAACAACCTTTCAGAATTGGTACCACAAGAAGTACCCGCAGCGCCTTAAGTCGTATGACCTTAGGCGGCAGACGATCGATTTTAGCATACTCTGATAGGGCAAAATGGAACTCCATCGGTTAAAATTTTGATCATTCTCGTTCAGTGGATTTCGTGCTAGCTCCCCTACTATTAAAACGAATTAATCGAATGAAAATACCTGCACGGTCAATTAATCAATTGTTTATCGATATAGAATTTTCGACCAAGCGGTAGTATTGGATAAAAATGCGGTAAAAAACAATTTTCTTAGCAATACTCTTTCGAAAATAGATAAAGGTGCAGGTATAAAAGCTACAAGCTTTGTTTCTCTATATCCCCTCAAAAACGTTATACCGTCTAAAAATCAATTTGATCACACACCCCATTTTCACAATCAATCATTCGAAAACCGACAGTTTGTGTTATCGAAATCAAATTTTCTTATTTAAAGTTTAACCGCGTTGGTATTTGAAAACACGCAGAATTCGGGAATACTTTCACGTCGACTTGTTAGAAAAAGCTCGGATAAAGAATGCGTGCGATTTTAATCGAATCATAACTTTTAAGCTTTGTCTAACATTTTCGGGTTTAATACCCGCATAAACAAGATTTAATGAAATTGGCATTAAAAGGAATTAGATGGCGTATGAGAGAAACCCATTAAATTTCCAATTTTACCCAAGCTGATTATCAACTTAATATTAATTGCATCCCAAACGTTTTGCACAGATTCTACTTTTCGAATAAAAACAACTGATCCTACATGCGTTTGAGAGTGCGAAATGGAATCTATGTACTTTACGAATTAGGGCAATTGAACTGCAGGAATAAAGAAAAACGTATTTCGAGATGTAAGCAAAATTTAATATAAACCTAAACAGCTGCTCCAACATTTTTAATATACGTTTCAGTTATATTAAAAAACGCACTTTTATTTCAGGGTGGCGATTACTCAAACAACCGTGGTATATCGACGACGGCAATCATAAAACTTCATTAATACCGATGATATAAAGTCGTAAACTTGACTGTATCGGTTTCTATTAACCAACGCGGTCTGCACTCACAGTAGTCCATGAGAAAATCTGAAAAATGTTGATTTTCGTTCCTCGCGGATCCGCAAATAAGATGATTTAATATTCATTTAAAACAATGAAGTAATTGAACCGTAGCATCCCTCTGTGAGAAGTTGAAGCGCCCTTAAAACAGATCGAAGAAGCTGAGGTTGGCAAAAATTGTACAAGTACGATGAAAAACTCGAGTTTTCATACGTGAAATTAGCAAACCTTGACGAATTTATATAATAATTACACGAGATACTCGAAATATCTCCTTTAATTTCCAAAGGACCAAACCTGGAGTAGCCGAATTTACATATTCGCAGCGCCGCGGAAAACGAATATATAATCTCGTCATTTTACCAACAGCCATTTCCATGGCTCTAATTTATACCTACAATATAAAAAGCGAATCTTGTTTCAATTATTGGGACACAATGAATTACAAGCCCTTACCATTAGGGGCCTTAGGTACATAATATGATAATCAACAGCACCAAATTACATTTATGGAACCGTGTGTATAAGGGGAATAAATTTAGAAATCGTTAGCAGAGAACTTGCATCATTTCGATTTAAAAAACACTAGATATGCAATGTCCCATAGTTCGTTTTTCCTCTAACAAAAAAAATAAACTAACAAATCGGAATTAGTTTTACTTATATTTTTTGTCTGTCTGTCTAGGATCTCCGCTAATATATTTCTAGAAAGTTTAACGCGTTTCCGTTTCGACAATAAATTGTCAACGAATATTGAATTTTTTGGTTTTTGGCTTTTCTTTCATAACTGGGCTAAGTCGATTAGGTACTTTTCTTAGAGACAGACATATTTGGGCAGATTCGAGTTGAATCATCAAGTGCAACTCGTGACCTATAATTTCTAACAAACTGTCATCCCCAACGACAGTGCCCCAAGTGAATAAAAATGCAGAGTATCCCACATCTATATTTGCCTTCTTTACATATTGTAAATATACGAAATGATACAATTTATGTAAAATCATAAAAGAAGTGTAACGCGTTTAAATATGAGCCTAATCAATTTCCCAGAAATTGTATACATATTCACATTAAAGGCTACACAAAACATATATACATGCATATACCTACCTATGCTATGGAAGTATTGATTTCATCAGTGGTTAGCGGTTATTTATACCTACATACATTTCGATTTGATTTTTTCGTTCACTTACGCGATAACAAATTAATCAAAAATAATAGCTATATACGAGTAGTGGCCGTTATGCATGGGCAAATAAAAGAAAAAAATCGGGCGCGTTAAATATTGCGAAAAGTACTCTTTTCTCGCCTCTTGGGAAATTGATATATCACGGGTAATTATTTTTTGACATAAAGCTCGTTGCGAAATAGTGATTTATTCACAACTTAATGACTATCATGTCACATGCAACATGAAGCAGTGATACTAATAAAGGTAACCGTTAATTAAATGTGTACCGGATAGGTGACCCACAAAATTTACAATTTCATACACTATGAAATGTATGTTTTATGATCCCTTGTGATTTTTGAATATGAAACATGCCGCACACCCAACAAAAATCACATCGAGATTGTAAAAACGAAGAAAAACAATAAAAAGGATTTCCATTTTCTAGTAAACTTAATTACTCTTAATGACCCCTATCAGATAAAACATGCGCGTAATTTTAGTATTCAACTCTTGAACAATAATTAAGAGTTAACTCCGTCTATATTGCAACCGTAAACCATATTTAATGCGGACTATTTTATGACGTACCGCACGCTTGAAACAATGGATATAAAAAGAATTATTAAACTTTTTACCATTCATTGATGATTTACCACAATTAAAGCATCCGGATCCGGTAAGCGTATATATGCGCAAATTTGAATGGAAAGCGGCGTCAATCCATTTTTGACCAAAGTCACGTCCAGGTGATAAACACAGCTCCATATTTATGGCAGTACGGGCTATGGTCAAACAGCGAAGCTGTTGGTAATTTACATAAATACAAAAAAAGGAAGGGCGTCGTCGATGAAAACGCCATTGCGAACATTTTCATTTTGTTTAAATAGTGACCGTCCGCGTTGCTTTCCGCACGCGAAGATCCAAAAGCATTTAACCTGACAAAAGACATAAATTTCATTATATGGGAGAATTCAATTTACAACTTGTTTTTTCTTTGTGCTTTGTTCTTATCAAAATATTTCTAGTCATTTACATGAAAAGGTGCTCGTTTTCGTACGAGGAAAATGGAACGAGAAAGATGGCAACGAAAGCGCGTCTTCACAGAATCCCTCTCCTTTTCAGAGGCTTGCATGAAAGCATATTTTATTCGTGTAATTCCTTTCAACGTTCCGAACTTATTGAGAAAGCGAAATTGTATTCATTGTCACGGTTTTCCAAACTGTCACATAAAACTGCCGACATAACTCTATTTTCGCATTATGCTCTTTAACCATTTAAAACGCACTTCATGTGTAGGGGATGTTTTGAAGAGCAGTCGACGTTTTATAATCGTTAGAACGTTTTTAATGTGCGAAAGAATATAAAAAAACGCGTGTCTCCTTATAGAAAATAGAAAGCCATATCTTAACTATTTTAAACCAATTGCGGTTATTTAAGTCTAATTTTGATTTTGTTTCAATGTACCTACCTATAGGTTACTGACACGCAGGTGATTTCCTGGAGTAATGGGAAAAGGATTGTCCTCTCATACTCTATGGATTTTTGGAAAAAAAAGTAAACAAAACGCGTAGATACTAATAAGGAAGTTCAAAATTTTTCGAGTTCGAAAAATTCCCTCATTTTAATTTCTACGTGGAAACGGTAATAGTTTACTTAATGCAATAAAACACCTAAAGCCAGACAATAATTATTTTTTGGCGATGAAGTAATTTTGATGAGGTTAATTTAAATAATTCGTATCTGGAAAGATTTTTTGTGCAAGGAAATAGGTTGACGTTAGAAGAATCGAAATTTTAACATGTACCTATTTGCATGTAAATATACTGGGAATTTAAACTACATTTTCTCGATCCGCTCCGCGATTAAATTTTTATTACTCGTTTACGAAATAACCGAAGGATTTATTTATTGTACGCGCAATATATAAAAAATCACCTCGCATTCGACCCAAGCGTAAGAACTGCTGTAATCACCCCACAGTTGTCAAATTGAAAAATTAATCGAACAAGTAACCCTATAATGATAATCGAAGATCGCATGCAGTAGGTAAATCAAAACCATTTCGAAACAAATAAGATTCGATTACCGTAGATAGAAAAATTCACGTGTAAAACTTTTTGGGCGCAACTTAAATTAAAACTCTGCGGATGACAACATTATTTGTTACGAAAAGAACGAGAGAAAGGCGAAATAACATTAAGTAAATTCCCTTACATAATGTGGGGTAATTAGATAGTTTCTCTCACTCCCGTGTATTAAATTACAAATTAAACCAAAGTTAGTTTTGGCTTAGAATTTAATTACCTGGCCATGCTGCGAACTGTAATTGAAATAAAGTCAATCTCCTTTTAGGAAATTCCATCTAATTTTTGTTGCATTTTAGGGCATTTTCCGCTTCCTTCAATCTACTGCCTGGCGTGGATTTGCCTCGACGTCCTTTTCTGTACGGCGTCTATAATGCATCTGTGCACGATAAGTGTTGACAGATATCTTTCTCTCAGTTACCCGATGAAGTTTGGACGTAACAAAACGAAAAAAAGAGTAACGCTCAAAATTATCATCGTCTGGCTACTCTCGATAGCAATGAGTCTACCGTTGAGCCTTATGTACTCCAAAGTATGTTCTTGGACTATTCCTGATACCGATTACATTTGTTGAATATTTTAGGATCAAGATTCCGTTTTAGTGGACGGAACATGTAAAATACCGGATCCGCTGTACAAATTTATAGGATCCATCGTATGTTTTTACGTTCCTCTTCTGGTGATGCTCGCGACATACGCGCTCACCGTTCGGCTATTGGCACAACAAAGACAGAACGTTGGAACAACGGGATGGTCGAGTGGATGGTTAGGAGGACCGCCAGCTTTGGGTAAGCAGTAACTGCATCCACGAACAAATCTCAATTTCCTTTTCCAGATCGCAAATGCACATGGCGACGACTACTAAATCCGACAAAAGCTCGTCCGATGACCCCTCAGCACGGTCACTCGGCCACATCAACGGACACGGAATTAACAACGATCGACACGCACGAGTTGTGGATCCAAGAAACTGAACCTACACCTTGTGCCATGTCGGCTTTGGGACAATTCGGCGCGGAAATGCTCAAATTATCGAGAGGTCTCGAAGCAGCCACATCATCCGATGTGAATACACTTTCAATCCATCAACAGGGTGCATCTAAAACTAGGTATGCGGACGCCATCACAATCCATATCTTAATATAACTGAAGCGCATCCAACCTTAATTCGGGAACCACTGTAACGAAACGAATAGGATTAATGTGACATTTGAACGGATTAAGAGCGTAGGCCGAGGGACACATCCTTGACCTAGCTTCAATTTCATTTCCATATCCTTTTACGCGATACTAACAATAATTGACATCAATCAATACAAATGAGACGTTCACACATCAATCATAAATTATGTTTTTCTTAATTTCGTCTTATTACGATATCGGATTAATTCATGTAGACTATACCGCAATTTGAACAGTCTTTTCCATTAACGCTCAGCCACACTTCAATTAATAAAATATGCATACCCTCGTGCATAAAGTAGGAAAGGGACAAAATTAATTAATTGTTTGACATTATACTAGCTCATTCGTTTAATTAAAATGAATTTCAATGCGGTCAATCCTTCATACATTCGACAAGCAAACTTCAACTACGTGAAGCTGAAAAGGACATAGATAGAACACCTACTATCAAATTCACTTTATTAGCACCGTGATGTTAAGCATATATGAAGCAACAGAATAGGTAGGCGTAGGTGAGACGAAATTATAGAAGATCATTCCCCAGCTAAATAACGCGAAATTAAATATAAAATAATAAATACTTACGCTTCTCGTTTGAAAAAAATTCATTTTTAAATTTAGGGCGATAACAATTATACAATCTATTATAAAATTTGTTGCAGTTCCGAAAATCGTAGTATGGACAGTCTATCGGGGTCACATTCGTCTCTCAGTCACGACCAATCGTCACCATGGACGATAAAAAGAAGACGAGCTTCGACGTTTCACGAAGGAGATACGAGGGACGAATCTCCGTACCCACGATGGCGAAGACGAGGGTCAAGTTTTCACGAATCAAGAACGCGAGATGTCGAGGTCATCAGTATGTCGGAAACGTCCGAAAGTGTGTCGTACCCCTTACCGCCGCCATGCACGTGTCCGTACTTCGGAGATAAATCTCCGGTACCGAAAACGACCGAAGTGAAAATAGTATCATCCGATCAACTCGACGTTGAAGAACACAAATCCTCATTACCCTATTTAAATAAGAAGCAATCGACGATGAAAAACACCCCCAGTACAGTTTTGGTGACGTGGGAGGCGGGAAAGCGATCGTCACGACGAGGCTCCAGTTTCGGAAATACGCGTAGCTCAGTAACTTCAAGTCCCCGCACGCCTTTGCTACGACGATCCGCCACGACGCGATACCCCTCAAGCAGGAGTCCTGGGCTGCAAGACCGCAAAAAGAATCCATCGTCGCCTTGCTTACAACGATACACCTACAGCAACGGAGGCAGTATACGAAGCACCCCCATTCGAACTCATCATAGTCGAAACTCGAGCGTGATTTCGCGAAATTCCTCTCGGCACGGACGGATTATACGTCTCGAACAGAAAGCGACCAAAGTGCTTGGTGTGGTTTTTTTTACGTTCGTCATACTATGGTCGCCATTTTTTGTTTTAAACTTACTACCGATAATATGCGAAGAGTGCGAAAGTCGCATCGACGACTCCGTCTTTCAATTTGTGACCTGGCTCGGATACGCAAGTTCAATGGTCAATCCGATCTTCTACACAATCTTCAACAAAGTGTTCAGACAAGCTTTCAAAAAAGTGTTAACATGTCGGTATCGAAATCGAACTTGGAGGCCAAACAGGTGACAAGTCAAGACGAACGTAAATATGTGTTGCTTATAATAAGACCCTAATCAGTATTTTTATACAACTTTAAATCACCCTTCTTCCAAATTCAAATTTTTGTTGTATATTGTCAAAAAAGGCACTGATCAATAATGTGATAACGTAGAGCTTAGTTAAAACAAGGTTCTCAGAACCACAATGGGGAAAAACATGCTTCAATATTACTAAAACCTAGTTAAAATACATGTTTATATGTTGTATCAATTACAAATGTTAACCATATAAGTATGTAGAAAGTAATGAGAAAAGAGTGGAAAAACAAAATACATATCGAAATAATCTCGAGTTAATTTAATCTTTTACATCTCGGCAAATCCTTACATATTGGAGTTCTATTTCAATATTTGCTGATCGAAAAGGCGGAAAATGAAAACTATTGTATTCAGACTTCAATTTATCTAGACTTTTCGAATATTTTAAATTAATATTTTCTCGGGTGGGATAGCGAATTTTTTGTTATACACATAAGCGCACATACAAACGCGCCTTTGACAATCTTTCTTATATCATCATGTGAATATAACATTTCTTTATAAGTATTCGAAAAGTGTACTCGACATTTCTTTCATGCGTATAGAAATAACGCAAAGTTTAAATTTTAGGAAAGGCGTCTTTTAATCTATTTCACGGAAAAAAACCTATTCGTTTATTTACGAAAGATGTTATCAAACATTGAGAAAACGGAGAAAAGTTGTTAAAGAAAACCCTTATGAATACAAAATAAAAATATAATAAATATGTAATAAGACCGATTTGAGGACGAAAGCTTCGACAAATTGGTGAAGGAAGTAAAAACTTGAAGTTCGTCGAAAGTTGTGGGGATGTTTTCTAAGAAGTTTTCTCCATAGCAAACCAATTTTAAAATACCTCAAGTACTCACGAAAATGATTTTGGTCGACGTAATAAAACGAATGTTAAAGTTTTATAAACATACTGAATCATTGTTTGAATAAATTACCTATACCTATACTTTTGTTAAGTTTAACTGTTGTGTACCTAATTTAAATTTGTTATATAAAATTAAGACGTTACAATTTGCTAATTGTGGAATTACTTTCTTAAACGGTCGAGTAGCGATAAATTTCATTATTGTAGAAATGAATGAAATAGTATCTCAATTACACAGGGAACAAGAAATGAAAACGGCACCAGAAAACTGTGAACTGCGGGAGGTAAAAAAAGACACCCGTAAGTAATCGAAATAAAATCGAAAAAGAACGAGATCATATAAAATATGGACAACGAGAATGGAAATAAATATATTCTGGTAGCGACGTACTCATTTAGTAAATGGACCAAAGGATATGTCCTCCAAATCAAAACGCTGCCACTGTTGCAGAGGTATACTAGTGAGGTATTCAGCGAGTCTGGTCTTTCACTGAAATTACATTCAGATCCGCTATCCCCTAAAGAATGAACAGGATCATGACGCCATATCTATCTAAAGATGTGGGACCCCAGAATTTGTATCTATTTAAGATGGCTACACATGGCTTACATTTCTTCCGGGATGTCTCTCATTGAACGTTCTAGCTGTTCTAAAAGATGATCGATTTTCGGAGCCATAAATGAATATTATTTCCACACGTTCAGCAGTACTGTAAGTCAATAAAAACAGAAAGCAGCCAAGATTGCTTAATGAAGCAGCACAGGTTGAAGTTCTTGGCCAATTTGCCATAAATCCCTCAATGTCAACATGTAGTTTTTTTTTGTAAATTATTAAATTTTTGTTAAATTGTCTTAATGAATATTGACTGTATTGGTACCACTGGAAAGCGTTTTTCAGTAGCTTTCCAACGATGTGCCGCAAGTTTGGGGTTGCCATTTGGGATTTTTGAAGAGGGAGGGCTGGGGGGTTAAGGGAGTGGGAAGTTGTCACTCATAACGTTATTTTGGTTCCCCCTCGATACCTCTGAAACGGTTTTGTGCGATTTTCAATATCTTCTTTGGTTTTGAAAATATGGCCGACTGCAAGTTTTAAAATTGACACTCTGTATGTGATATGTCAATTGCAAGTGAGCAATTGTTTAACATCTTTTGTGAACCTCGTCGAGGTCGGCAAAGTACTTCCCGACTTGCACGCCAATGCCGACTAGATTTAAAATGTTACGCTGACACTGGTGGAATATGTTATACTACTAACTTATTTAAGTATTTATGTTTCCAGTGCCGTAGTCACGACAACGAACTAAAATATTGTAAAATACGCTCCGCTCAACTAGCGAAGGAATTTAAAGCTTATTATTACATTTAATGCTTTAAAAAAATCAAGTACATCGGGTAATTCTTTTTGTCGAATTAAGCATCGACATTCTACATTCTACAATTATCCACATTAATCCGACACCGTTTCCGTTTTAAAATATTCAACTTTGGTGATACGATTGGTTGGGGACAGTATGAAATGTCCCTAATTAAGAGAATAATACAATCAAAAAGCCCATTTGCGTTTTAATTTTGTAACCTTATTTATTTTGGAGCGGAATCTTTTCAAATAATTCGCACGAGATCCCTAAGTTGCGCATGAAATTTGATCGGCCTCTGCATTAACGTAGAAATGAGCAATGTTTTTAAAATGCTTTCCATTTCCCGGCCGTTTACATCAATTACACAGTGCAAACAAAACTAAAATGGAATTTCTTTTATGAGACCAAAACTCAATGATCCCAAACGTTGTCCCCTGAGAGTGTATAAGCGAACATAAAAATTTTAATTGAAAGGATTAATCTAATTAAACTTCCCAACATAAACTTTAACCAACAGGGTGCGCTGGGGTAGCAATAACAAGAAGTACACGACACGTTGCTGTTAAGCAAAATAGAAATACACTACATACTAAAATCGGTGAACGGATCATAATTTTGGTTCATTTAGCAATACGCTGTGCATTTGTTCGGAAAAAACGAACCATTCAAGATAACTACGAGTAATATTAGCCTGTCAAATTAAGATTGAAGATATTATGTATAAATATAAATAGAAGGTTTTCTAAACGATAATTTTATATGCCCTTTGATACATTGATACGCGTTGAGCTTTGGTGAATTTGTAACGCCTATTCACCCTCGAGGGTACCACATATAGATCGTACTTGATATCTCTCTTTGTCGTGGTTGATTAAGATCCGAAACTTATCTTTCACTTGTTCCGTTTTAGTTCTCAACGCAGTATACATGACGATACAGCAGGGAAAGAAAACATTATAATGACTCCTACCTGTTCTCAGATTAAATATCAAGGGCGAGGTAAAGTGTTGGCCTTACCAGAAAAAGAAAAATCAATTTTAATATAAGTAGCGACATTTTGCACAGCAAATTTTAACAAGAAAAGTCAATAAGGACGAGATATTCATAGAACATTTTGGTATTCGTTACACTTTAGTCATTATTTTGCGATCAATAGGTATAATTTAAAATGGGTTGCTCCAAACACTGCAACAGATATATTTTACAGTACAGAGAGCGATTCAAAGTCCTTGCCGCTAATAGTCTGGGAAATAGACGCGTTTTTACTTTTTAATAATACCCCAATCGGATTTTGTATACTGCACACTAGACGTATAATTACGTTATTGAGTTCTAGTATGTGTAACTATGCTTCGGTTAATTCCGTCGGAAATGCTCTTTAACAGAATATCTAATCTATTAACAAGGAGCAGTTTCCTTACTTGATTGAAAGTACATTGATTTCCAACATTACAATCGTGCGTTCCTGTAAAAAGTAGCCGAAGACATTGAAAGATAGTAAAATAGGCGGAGGAAAACATTTAGCCTACAATACCGTTACTGAAATTCCCAAAATGCCGGATCAATGGTATTCCTTCAGTAAAAAATAATACGACAAACAAACGGACATAGAGTTACATTTGAGAAAAAAAATTAGAGATTACAAACAGCCTTGTGTGCAGATCTATAAGGAGCGAAAAAATTATTCAACGAAACACTTCCGATCTGCAGCTTAGGAAACAAGCAGACTCAAAAAGATCTTAATATTGCCCGCAATTAGTCTAGTCCGGGCAAGTATGGTAGGCCACAAATATTTTATCACAACAAAAATGCATTTTCTTAGATAAAACATTTTTTGCGGCAATTATTTAGGGGGAGGGAGGGGGAAGTCAGTAACTATGACGCAATGATATTGACGGACGACAAATTTTGAGTTGATTTAATGTTTCAACTTTCAACTCCCTTTTTTTGTAACCTACCGGATGCATTTACTTCTTAGCAAGTATCACCCAATTTAAACTAACTTCAATCTAGAATTGATAGGCACTAATAAATTCCGAGGTTGTTTCGTATTCAGCCACACACTCATTTCTATAATAATACACTTTATAACAGCGAGACCAACAAATTTAAAACCTTCAAAGGTACCCTTCACTATATGAAAAACGATTTTGGAAGATTCCATAAGTTTGAGAATCGAACCCGTGCATCAATCAATATCATAAGACGTTTATTGGCGGGAGCAGAATGGAAGCACAATAGAAAATAGTAATTCGTTAGTTTGTAAGATATCGGTTTGAGATGAAAGAATTACGACACAAACGTTGCACTGCATTCGCCAATAATAAAAACGGAGAAATTTAATTTCAATCCCATTTCAAATATACAAATAACGAATATTTATCGAATTTCTTTAGGCAATTAAGACACATAAATTATCTTAGAGAATAACCAAGCTACCGTAGATTCGAATATCTTTTGGGAAGGTTTTGAATTTAGATGAAATTACTAATTCAACACAAATACCTGTAATTACGCCGCCTTGAGAACAAAAATCTTATTCAAAAGATTCACGAAAGAGGATTTGAACATTTTTTTTCATTCTCTTCTTTAGAGGGCAAAAACTCAACTGGAAGAACGATGTAAATTCGCGCATCATACAGTTTTGTATATTTTTTTTAAGTCGATGTTAGTTAGAAACTTTCAGGACCCGAGTCTTATTGAACTCACTATAATTATGACTTTTCATAAAATCTCGGTACAGAAAACAGTTGACATACGTACACAAATTAAGTGTTTTCATTTCGAGGAGCTTTATTTTAAAACCATTAAAATAATCTTCTTTATTGCATTCGTCGTGATATTAAAACTTTTCGGAAGCATCAACTGTCTAAGTAGGTGGAAGGGCTGATTAAAAAGGGGACGCATATTAAATTAACTAATGCTTAAATAAATTAAAACCGAATTCGAAACGCTACCCTTACGAATATTTTATTGACAGCAGTAGGCGTATACGTACCCCACAAAAACGGTATGTTAATACTAAACCTTCCTCTACACAAAGATGAATCATTTCTCTCTGCCTTTTACTGCCATGTCTGCTCAGATCTTCGTAAAATTTTGAACTTTCCCCAATCTCCATCTTGAATTATGGCAAAGCTAGTCGTGCAATCCCATCGATATTGGACGCCCGGCTAGCAATAGTCATCACTTGATAAAATGTGAAGGCAAAGGCGATAAA